TTAAGTGTCATGTGTAAGAAGACATTTTACGATGCAGCAGTCTGTCTGTGTTTCATCCCTTAGCTGCAAAAACTGACTGAACTGTGAAATCATGCTCATGCGTTTTTTTTCCAAAGATTAACATAAAAATACCGGAGGTACTATAAATGGGTATTATTGAATATACGTGCTTGCAGCCCCTTTGGGATTTCATGAAGCTGCTGCATATGCTTCGAAGACAGTGCTACTTAGGCATCTGAAATCTTTGTTACTAGAAGCATATATTAAAAAAAAACAAAGATTTCTGATGGCTTCAATCTTCGTAAAATTCCAGGGTTTTTGGTCTGGCAACAATTTCCAGTTTCTGTGGGGTTTTTCGTGTTGTTGTAATGGTTGTAGTCTCAGCGATACTTGGAATTATTGCTGCTGGTGTTCTGACAGCAGAAGAAGCCAGAGAAAGCGATTCAAAAAAGACCGATAGTGAGTGCTTCAAATTTTTTTCATTACAAAATTCATGCAGACATCAAATATTGTAGGAATTTTAGAGATATAAACAATGAATATCCCTGGCTAGGAGGAGACTGGAAGAGGCTGGGGAGCCTGAAATCGTCTATGCGTTAACATATGCAGTTCACGAAAGCATCAGATTACAGGTAACATGCCCTCACCTGTAGCTGGTAGCGGGTCGCATTTACACATTCTAGATTGGCTAGTTACCTGCATAAGTTGTTGCTCGTTATCTGTATAAGGCGCTGCTCGCTACTTGCATTGTTGGGATTGTGCGTTACTCGAGCATTACACGAGCAACACTGGGTGGTTACTTGTATCAGTTGCCGTTACACGAGCAGTGTTGACATGTTACGTGTAATCTGATTTTTTCGTGTTTGTTTGGCGTTGCTGGCTCAGCACCGTGGAGAGGAGGAACATAATCGAATTTTGATAATTAATGAAAACACATTGGAAGTAATGCCATTTGGATCTCCCAAATAAGCAAGCCTGTATGTACAGGTAACTTGGAAACTTGTCTGTGTTTCATCCCTGAGCTGTAAACACAGAGGGCAGAATCGGTGCGAAATAGAGTGGGAATCATCAGTACAGTGCCCCATTTCACCATGCCAAATTTTCTAGTGGTTTAATCGTTGCTGCTTCGTCTGGTAATTAGCATGCTAGATGGTCCTGACGTTCGTTTTTTGTCTTACAAAAATCACTAGCTCGATGGTTCTTCCAAGCAAAGTACTTGGCAAGGCTTTCGTTATCTCCAAAAGGCCTTGTTGTGTGTTGAACTTTTTCCACCTCGTCCCGAATGTTGCAATTTCTGGAAAGCAATTTAAGAAAATTTTGTGAAATATAATAAAAAAATTTCAGTGATTAGTAATCTTCTATGCATTTTTTAAAGGTGTTACTTTGGATGACGATTCAAAAGAACCGGAGCGATTGTCCGCCGAAGTTGATAATGAAAAAACACTTGAACAGGCATTATCTGGCGATTTTTACGTACAAGTACCAATTCTTTTTTTTCCTTTTCCTGTTTTTTGCCTCATATAGCAGTCATTTTTTTACTTTTCTATCAATTTTTCCATAATTTTTCACTATTTTCTGAAATATCCTAATTTCGTTTCCTGTTTTGTGTCCTGTATAAAACTTGTTTTTTTTAACTTTCCCATCAAATTTTCCCAAGTTTTTTCATTATTTATTTGAAATATCTCAATAAATTTCATAATTTTTAGGCTGTCCTTGGACTTTGCGCTTTGGAATTTGCTGCTCGTCACGACTTTGTT